TTTCACACACACATGCAAAGCTCACAGGTGTGCATACATCCCAACTCTCAAACACATATGCAATCTCCCATTCGCTATTACATACACCTATGCACACCAGCTCATACGTATATTCACACACACACATTAACTCTTAATCACTTTTCCACACACTAACAGAACACATGGGCAAGCACTCACATATGTACTTCTGTGTACACTTGCATTCACACAGACTCTCAAGTGCATACACTCATTCATTTTCTGTTGCTCACTTATGTATACACACTGTATACACATTTATATACCTACCATGTGCACGCTCACACAAGCAGACACTTGTGTGCATGCAGACTCACAGGCATGCATGTGCCCACAATCAGGCACACTCATGCACAATCAGGCACACTCACATATACACCCATACAGACAGGCATACTCACCTGCTTATTGATGTCACTTCTGTATACCTTGGAAATCACACACACACACATATGTAGATATGCACCTACATGTACACTAACGTGCTCATGACCATGCCTGTGCATTTACAAGTATGTGTGCACTCACAAGTACAGGAGCAAACTAATTATTCTCCATCTGGAGATACTCTTGGACTCTTCACAAGCACACTCACATATACAGTCAGACATTTTCATGCAATGCCACACACCTTCATGTACCATTACATATGCACATACACACACTTGCACACACATTCATGCAGACTCACTTTCACCCAGACACATGCCTGCCCAGACATAGATACTCATTCAGTTATTGTCACACTTGCTCCCACAAATATGCGCACTCACACAAGCATGTGATTGCTCCCACTCACACTTGCACACACAATCACAGCGTCATAGGTTCACACCCATACATGCAGAGGTATTCACATATTCATATACATGTACATACATTCATATACACTCACACACATGGGCAGCTGCATGCACTTATATGCACAATCACCCATTCAGCATCTATTTCTTTAAAGATGCATAAATATGTTAAAATCTAGAGGATACTGCAATGGGGATTTTTTTTTTAAATATGCCTCATTAGCTTTCTATATGCCAGCCAGTAAAATACCAAGGCAATCATGTTGCATCTGTATCACTTGTGTATGTGTGCAGAGAGAGAGCATCATATGTGCACTCTGCAACTGAAAGAGGTCTCAAGTCAAGAATGATGAGGGGAAAAGCTGGTTGCAGTCAGGTGCTTGGGAATTGTCTTAAAATAAACACATGCACACACAAATGAGCTGACATGCAAAAATCATCACACACACACACACACACACACACACACAGATCAGAACACACCCAAATACTCCCAGATGCAAGATGCACCAAATTGCTCCACGCAAACAAAGAGGAGAAAACATGCATATACAACCATAGCAGGAGCATGCACATACAGCAGCACTACCACATAAAACGAAGAACACTCACACAAAGCAGCAGCAGCCTTACATGCACGCGTGCACACAAATACACAGCGCACAGACACACTGATTCTCTTACACTCGGCTAGCAGAATGCACTCATATGCACACATACACATGCCTGCTGACACAAAAGCATCTATCACACATTCACAGTGCACACATTGACACGCGCTGTAATTCAGACACATACACCAACACTCTCACAAACTAAAAGCATCATATGCACATGCCGTAATATAAATCACAACACTCCCCATTCCCAGCAAAACTCTTACACACACACACACACACACACACACACCCATTTTGAGGGCACCATTTCAAGGACTCAGCCACACACACAATGCAAGCTGACATATGCCTCAACCCCAGTGCAATTCTGTCTTTCTCTCTCACACACACACACACCATCTCTACAACACATATATAGTCAATACAAACGTTGGCACATACCAACCAACACCAGCATACACATACACAAGGCAAACCAGACTGCATGCCATCATACAGTCAGCAACATGCTCACACAAAAACACATGGAGTATGTTCCCTAAATGTTGCCTTCTCTGTCTGAGGAATGTGTGTGAGTGTGTGTTGTTATCTCTTTCAGCACCAGATGCACTGAATGGAGACACGCATACACCCCTCTCAGTAGTGACACTTCAATATCAGCACACACAGTGACTACACTTCAGTAACAGACTAAGTGGAGACATGCATACGCAGTAATGACAAATTGGTGCAAAACAGTCTGAGAAAAGACACACATGCATGTGTGCAGACAAAACTCAGAGCACTAGCACTTTAGCACAAGATATACAGAGCCTGTCTGGGCATGCATGTAGACACACACAAACACATGCCTGCACATGCACATACATCCCAGCAACAGATTCCCTCCAGTCCTGGTTCCATTGACCATCACCACAGCAACCACATCGTGCTCCCCCATTGACCATCACCATGGCAACTACATCCCTCCTAGCCCTGCTTCCCATTGACCATTGCCACAGCAACTACATCCCTCCTAGCCCTGGTCCCCATTGACCATTGCCACAGCAACCTCAACCCTTCATTCTTTCTCCCATTGATCACTGGCCAACAGAACGATGTTACCATCCCTGCTCCCCCCTCTTCCCCATGAATTGGGACCACTGGGGGACCTGGGAGGGAGTGGGGAGGTGGAGGGGGTTGCTCAATTTCTTCTTACCTCGCTCTCTGGTAGAAAATCCCCGTTTACAAAATCCCCTTAGCTCTGCTTGCAAATCAGCGCTGCCGGTGCCAAAAAAACATGCTTAAAAAACCCATTGGGGGGCAAAATCCTGGCTCCCCCCCAGCTCTGCTCCCCCTGCATTTGGGAAGCTGCCAACTCCCTCCCTCCCAGCCCAGCCCCAAGTCCCTACAAAAATCATAAAAATCAGGGACTTTCTATTAAAAACTGGGATTCTTTTATGGGGAGGAGATGCCAGGGTCTGAGTGAGCCACCCTGCCCAGACAGTGCAATTGGCTAGCTGGCAGTGGGGGGGTGGGCAGCAGGGCCTCCATTGGTGGAGCCTGCCCAATCCGTGGCTTATTGAAGACCCCCCCCCTCCATATTTGCCAGTGCCAGGACCCTCCCCACATATCTGCCCTGTCTTCTCCCAGGGAAGGGGAGGGGGGGAGGGTAGTGCTTTTCATTAACAAAAAAAGGTTAACTCCCAGCTTCTGATTGGCCAGGGAATGGGATGCAGGGGTGTAAGATTGGCTGGACCAGGCAATCAATCACCATCCTGTTAAGGGGTGGATGGGGGGACTTGGGGGGGAGGTGTTGCCTGGGGAGAGGGGTGAAGGAGGAGGGTGCTGTGGGGGAAGGGAAACTCAATACATTGACAAGGAGAGAAGGAAGGAAGGAAAAACCAAGCCAAAATATGGGGAGAAAAGACAGAATATGGGAATGGAAACAGACAGACAGATCAAAAGACAAAATAAATATGGCAGTGAAGAGAGATTGACAGACAGAAGGTGGGGGGTGCGCAGAATCAGGCAGCCTTGAGGCCCTCCTTACACTAAGAGGTACCTCCCCCCAGGGCTCCCCACCAGCCCTCCATGCAGCAGAACTGAGTCCAGCTCCCAATCAGCTCATTAGCATCAGGCAGGTAATTAAAGCAGCAGAGCAATGAGTGCAATTTATGCTGCGCACTGGGACCAGAGAGGCCCTGGGGCAAGAACTGCGCTGTGAAGCACCAGGGCAGCGGGTTGGACTGGGGACCACTGGGGCAGATCAGCAGCTGGGCCACCAGTGCCACCTAGCCCCCACCTTATAAACAGTCAGACTTTAGAGCACAGGGCCGCAATCCCAGTGACCATTCTTTTCACAATAATTCAGATTCATGGGAAGATAACAGCCTACTACTGCTGATGGCCATTCAGGGAGTAGCTCCTCCAGGGCTGGTGGAAGAGGCCTATGGTCTCTGGTGAAAGTCTGGGGGGCAGAGGGCAGCACCCCCTGGTGACAGGGTGGGGGCAGGGCCTGGGTTGGTGGGATGGAAGGGGGTGAGGCTTTATGGGCTGGGCACAGCCATTAATCCTGAGGGCTGTACCAGGACAAGCTCCCTTCCAGGTGTGGTCACAAAAATTAGTCATACTCCTTCAGCTCCTCTGTGCAGACACACTCCATGAGGGGTCCCCAACACCGCTGCCCCACCTTGGAAACTAACCCAGATTAACTGCAGCTTTGATCTAAATGCAGTTGCCACCACAATCATCATCTTTCCCACAAGCAAAAAAACTCTTGCTGAGACATCAAGGCCCATGGAAAGAAAGCCTGGGCACAGCTCTGAGCTGGGAGTGGACATTGTAAGCACCTTGACCTGACCCCATGGCTCTGGCCAAACCTGCAGCTGTAGACAGAAGTAGCCCCATTTGGTTTAGCTTAATTCACTTCCAAAGCAACTTAGGCTGAACTTAAAGCAGACCCGAAGCCTTTCTGAATCCTTATTCAGATGCTCAGTCATGCAGTTATTCTGGGGAACATGCCTTTAATGCAGAGTAAAAATGTGTTTACTTAAAACAGTTTAATTCACATCAGAAGCGGATTAACTGCAGAGGTGGCTGCTTCTCAGCATGGGTTGTGGAGGCCTAGGATAACCAGCTCCTATAACGCCCCATCAAGTGGTGGCTGCATCTCAGTGGTGAAGGCAACTGTTTTTGAAATCAGGGATTGTGGCAAATTTGCTCAATTAACCAATGTTCCTGGCGGGGCTTAAAATCTTGTTGCTATGGAGACCTCCTGGCCTTGCTCTGAGCAGGCCCTATGCAGTGTGCGGCACTAGTCACATACGTGGGGGCATAGGGGCACATGCCAGCAATGGAACCAAAGCAGCCCACACTCCAGCAGGCCCAGCGGGGCAGGCAGGGGGCTCTGTGTTATGTTGGGGTAGGAGGCAGATGCTGCACTGCCTGGTGGCATGTGTACACATTGTGTGTGTAGTGCTACCCCCTCACACAAGCACTCTGCCCTACACACACAGCAGGGGGCAGCATTCTGCATGCACACACCTCCTGCCCCACAGACATAGGCACATAGAGGCAGTTTTTCAGTCTTTATTGGGATGCTGCTTGCCCCCTGCTTGCTCTTAGGGTAGCTGAGGCAGAGGCTCAGTTGCCCAGGGGGTTCTGGGCCTGGAAGAAGGGCAAGAGGCCACTGTCAGGTGCTGGCTCCTTAATCATTTTCTGGATCTGGAATAAGAAGCAGGGCTGAGTGTGAACAACCCCTCCCCACCGCTCCAGTGCAGCACAGGGTGGTTCAGGGCTAGGAACAGAACAGCCCCTTTGCCCACTTGCATCTAGTAGCCAGGCATCCTGGCTCCCAGCCCCCCTACTATAGCCCACTAGACCCCTTCCCTCTCTACAAGCTGAGGCAGAACCCAAGTGTCTTGAGCTCTGCTCTAACCCACCAAACCCCACTCCCATCCCAAGCTGTAAGAGAACCCAGGTGCCCTGACTCCTGGCCCCACAAGTCACAAAAAGGATGTTACCTGGCGGAAGTGGGGATGTGCAGCATCCTGCACCAGCTGCAGGACGAGGCCTTCACTGGTGGTGAGGAAGGCCCCACTCTGCCTCAGGCGGGTGAAGGCCACCAGGCGGTCCAGCTGGCTGCAAGGTTGGGGGGAGGGAGGGGCATAAGCACAGCCACCTGCTGTGGAGTCCCTGCTCTCACTCCCCACCCAGCCCCTCACCCTCCTCCCAGGGTACTGGCCCAGCCCCTTACTGGGAGACCTGACCCCACCACTGCCCAGCACCCACCACCCCAGGGTTCCCTTCCCAGCCCTTGCTACCCCACCTCTAACCCCTACCCCTGCCCAGCATCACCTGCGGGATGAGCAGGCATCAGCCACCACGTGCACATCCAGACCACGCTCCAACAGGTCCAGTGCTGTGCTCTGGGGACAGCAGCATGAGACTGGTATTCCCCACCAACCTGACAATGACCCAGCCCCCGCCCCTGCTGAGCATCCTCACCCCCAGATAAGACCCCGTCCCTCCATGAAAACCCTGGACTCCTGATTTCCACCCACATGAGATGTCTTCCCTGCCCAAGACTCCAGGGTTCAACTCTCCCCCCTTCTCATGGCAGCCCTGGACCCCTGGGTTCCACTCCCCTCCCCCCCAGCCAATTGTGCCCCATACACCAGTACCATGATGCAGGCCTGGGTCTCAATGCCACAGAGGAGAACAGAGCACAAGTCAGGCCGGGCACCCAGCTCCCGCTCCACCTCGGGCACCAACATGCTAAAGCAGGTCTTGGGGATCTTGCGTAGAGCTTGGGCACCCAGCTCAGGCACTGTGGGACCCAGGCCCTGGGGGTACTGCTCTGTCACCACCACTGGTACCTCCAGCGTCTGTGCTACCTGCAGAGAGGAAGAGAAGAGTGACTAGGCTGAGCCAGAGTGCTGGGGTTCTCACGCAGCTGACAGAGGGTGCAGGAGACAGATGGAGGCTAGAAGCCATAACACCTTCCCTCAGGTCTGGGAAGGAAGTGGGGCCTGGAGGGTTAAAGCAGGGAGCCAGGGTTTCTGGGGTCTATCCCAGATGTGGGGTGGTGGGGAGGGGGACAGGGCTGTGTTACCATTCAGTCCCTTCTCTTCTGGCATCACCTGGTGGCCCTTCTCTGCAACAGCAGCTTTGTAACCACTGGGTCCCCATCTTCCCTGAAGGGGTGGCACAGCTCCAACAGGGAGTGGGTGTGGGCAGGTCTTTCATCTGCCTGCTCCTGAACAGGACCATTGGTGGGGTTCATCCAGGGACTTTCTCATCCGGCACTGAGATGTGGCCACCTCTGGGGTGGGCCCTAGCAGGTATGTGGTGGCTGTATCAAACACTTGCTTGGACCACGCGGGGATGTTACCTGCAGCATCCGAGCAGCCACTGCCACGATTTGGGGGAAGTAGGCAACTGTGGGGCGGAACTTCTCCTGCATGTCGCACAAGAAAAGGATGCTGGTCTTGGGTACCACCTTCCCCAGCCGGGTTATGGACATCTCTCTAGTTAGAGCCAGAGGAATGGGAAGGGCTACCTAGAAGGGGACAGGACCCCTGAGCACCCAGTGCCTCTCTCCTAGGGCTGATGAAAGGGTACAGTCACAGGCTCCTTCCCCTCTAAGGTGTGCTGGTTCTACTGGGGAGTGGGGAATAACCACTGGTTCATGTGCCTGCCAATCTGAACAGCTGTGGGCACTGTGTGAGAGACACTGGCCCTTGGTGGACAAAACCAGAACTGCCATGCAAAGTAGGTATATAAGGGGTGGAAGTAAGTGTGTGTGTGTGTGTGTGTGTGTCCGTCCGTCCCCATGGGATTACTGGGGGAGCCAACCCAACCTATGTGCCCTCGTGTCATGCTGCCTTGACTCTGGATGTCCAGGTGTGTGTGCTGAGCCCTTTGAATGTGAGTATGAAAGCCCACTGGGGTTTGTATGCGCAAGGCTGCCTCCTCCACAGTACACATATGCATTGGGGGCAGCCTCATGTTTGAGCATGTTGGTAGACATACATGAGTATTCCCTGAGAGTGCTGGTGTGTCAGGATCTTGCTACCTAATGTCTCAGAGAAGGGCTGTGCACATGTGTCAGGCCAAAGAATCACAGTATGTGTGAGCACATGCACCTGTCAGCCCAGAGCAGTGGGAGTGATATGCACTCCAGGCAGGAGAGGAGTAATATATGTACACACACATATGCCAGAGGGGGGCGGGGAGGGGGCAGGCAGTGTGTGTGCATGTGCCTGCGCCAGGCTGGGGGAGAAGGCAGTGTGTGCTAAGATCAGGAGGGGCAGGAAGGTATGTGCACGTGGGTGTGCCAAACTAGGGGGGCAGGCAGTGTGTGTACACGTGGGTGCGCCCGGCTGGGGGCAGGCAGCATGTGTGCACGTGCAGTGAGGCTGCGGGAGAGAGGCGAAGGCAGCGTGTGTGCACGCACGTGCCAGGTCAGGGACTGGCAAAGACAGCGCGTGTGCCCGGCCCTGTACCCTTCCCCAGGTTCTGGACCCCCGACTTCCCCCCCGCCCGGTGACTCCACTCACCTCCGCACACCCACCAGCACTGCCTCCCAGCCAATCAGCACTCGCGACAATTATGCCCCGCCCCCTACCAGTCATTGGCGTCCTGGCAAAGCTGACCAATCATGGGCTCCTTCCCGCCCTGCTCTTAGCCAATCACAGCGTACTAAAACTCTCTTCCCCCCC